GCAATTCTCAGCTCAGTAACTGCGTCCAGGACTAATGACTCATCACGACCACTGCTTTAAATAAACACTGACTCGACTATTTTCACACAAGACAAAGATCCCCCATATTGACTCCACAGACTGTTGGGGCAAGTGCTGTTAGCGAGCACCTGTGAAGGATGGCCCGGCACACGAGGGGGTGCGTGGCTGGCCAGCATCACGCCCGGCCGCCTTTGTCTCCATAGTAGCGATGTTAACACATTTCACAAGATGCTCCTGTAAGGCTGAGTCGATCTAGGGGAGGCCCAGGATCGGTTCAGATAATTGTCACGAGTGGTGACCGAGTGCGGGAATCTAACTCTGGTCGTCGGGTTCGTAGCGCAGTGCGCTAACCATTGCGCCACCACTCCACCACACACACACCCTCACACAGAGACAAAGACTTAAGTCTCCATGCGGAGACCCACACTTCACAATAAGAGCCTCCCCGTCTAAAGCCAGACACCCAGAGAAAGAGAACCCCTTCACAATAGCAGTCACCAGTGATAATCAGGCGACTCTATTTGAGATCTGAACGGGTCCTGGGCTCACTCCATCCCACAGCGCTTCACCAACCTGCCATTGGTCGGCGCGGTCAAGCGAAGTATGGCACAACAACAGCAGCAGCCAGCAGCATGGCGGTGGTGCTGGAAGGGGGGCGGTGGCGCTGTGAGACTCCCGTCCGTGCCCTGGCCCGCCGGGAGATAGCGGTTACAGCAGTGTGGGCCAATCGCCATTTGTATGGGGATAGAGCGTTGCCCCCTCGCTGCAAGGCGTGCATTTTCTCCACGTGCTCCGTGTTCCTGCCACCTCGTATAATAAACAAGATTCGTCATTTATTGGCTGAAAACATCTCACGGATAGAATCCCAATGCAGCAGTAGCAGCAACCTCCTGAAAACGGCCGTACGAGCCCCATGTGTGTGTGCCGTGGTGCCGGGCCGTGGTGCCGGGCTGTCGACGGCGAGCGTCGCCGAGTGTGCGGGCGGTGCCCCCGTGGCTAGGGCCCCATCGTTTCCGGATTCGGATCCGGATGGCTCTGGATTGTTTTTTCAAAGACCTTCAGGTTGCATTTAAAGGTCAGGCTGCGGTTCGGCGTGACCCCAACCGCACCTCGCTGGGGCGACATTTGCCACCTCTTGGCAGCAGAAGTTCTCGCCGCGCGGGGCGTTGGGCCGAATTCTCCGGGTACCGGGAGCACCGCTGTTGGGAGGGGCCCACGGTGGGCCGATGACCCCCGAGGTTGAGTGGCTTAAAGTTCCGTGTCGCTCATAAATATCACAAAATAGGCGTGGGCCCAGGGCACCGCGTGCAGGTGGGCACCAGGATGTTGTGTTTGAGATGAAGTGGAGCAGGGGAGCCGGTGGAGCCACCACCAAAGCCCCGTTGTAACCTCGAGCCGAACATCGCACGCCTCCTGGCTCTGACATTCCCATTCCTCCTCTTCGGAGGCACCGATGTAACCATCGACTCACCTCATCGAGTCGCTCGCCACTCGTGGAACCATCAACCGCATCAGAACATCACCAGGCCGATGCTCCACTAGATCTCCTTTACGAATGGAAACTCAAAGATACAACCCACAGCGGTGCGACTGTGGCCATGCAACCCAAACTATGGACCGCACGGTCAACCCACTGTGGCCTGCGCGCCTTCAACGGAGGAGGAACGGCCAAACGACACCAACTCTCGCTCTACCGAAGCCCCCTCTCCTCGTGGCAGCAGCAGGACCTCCACACCGAGCATCTAGCTCGTGAACCACCAACACTGCTGCTCTGCTGCTGCTCTGCTGCTGCTGCTGCCACCATCACCACGCGCAACAGTAAAAGGTTGATAAGCTGCATAATACATCAAGCATTGGCATCATTAGACAGCGACATCATCTCTCAAACTCGACAGAAATCACCAACAAACAACCATCATCGAGTACCATCGTCCGGGGAGGACTCGGACAGTTGTGCGGGGTGCGAGCGGTGGCGCAGCGGTTGGCGCACTGCACGACGAACCCGGCGCCTCGCCCCTAGTTCGAGTGCCGGCCCAGGCCAACATCGGTGGCGAGTGAACACTGTACTCGAATCGATCTATCCATCTGTTAGTTGCTGATGTGTCGTTCCATTACATCATTGAGTTCGCAAATGATTTAACTAAGTGGTCTCTTATGGTCATAGAACGCCACGCCCGTGCGTGCGGGTGCTGCTGGGGTTGTGGGTTAATACGCGAACACAGTCTGGGCCGGTTTTGACACTCAGAGTCTCATCAGCAGTCAGGCTGACGCCAGTGCTTGTGAACTGCCCGGTGTTTATAGGCAAGGATCCTCTCTGAGATGTGGATCCCAGACTTCGCCGTGTCTGTTGTAGTGCTGCGTTGCCAGGTAACGCACGACGCTATTGGTGTGGCTTTGTATGCGAGTGTGGGTTGGTGACTGTCTTTGTGGGGGTGTGCGAGTGTGTGATTGGGGGTGTGCGAGTGTGTGATTGGGGTATGCGAGTGTGTGATTGGGGGTGTGCGAGTGTGTGATTGGGGGTGTGCGAGTGTGTGATTGGGGGTGTGTGAGTGTGTGATTGGGGGTGTGCGGGTGTGTGATTGGGGGTGTGCGAGTGTGTGATTGGGGGTGTGCGAGTGTGTGATTGGGGGTGTGTGAGTGTGTGATTGGGGGTGTGCGAGTGTGTGATTGGGGGTGTGTGAGTGTGTGATTGGGGATGTGTGAGTGTGTGATTGGGGATGTGTGGGTGTGTCTCAGCCTCACATCAGCACCTGGTTCAATGTGTAAACATCACCAATAGGAAGACAAAGGCGGTCGGGCGTGGTGCTGGCAACCCACACCCTTGGTGTGCCGTGCCGGCCTTAATTAGGAGCGCGCTAACAGCCCTTGCCCCAACAGTCGATGTAGGCTACACGGAGGATCTTTGTCTTTGTGGGCGTGTGCGAGGAGGCTGCGTGTGTGATATGGGGAGCGGTGGCACAGTGGTTAGTGCACAGCGAACCCAGTAACCAGAGTTCAATTCCTGCTCACGGCTAACATCAGTGGCGGTTATCCGAACCCGTCTCTCTCCCCTATGTCGACTCAGCCTTAAACGGGTGCACGTTTTCCTTGTGCAAATGTGTAAACATCAGCAATGGGGAGACAAAGGCGGCCGGGCGTTGCTCTGACCACACCCTTTATCCCTTTGTGCCTTCCTTCATAGGCGCTCGCTAACAGCACTTGCCCTCTACCGTGTGTGTAGGCTACACGGAGAGCTTTGTCTTTGTGCGCGTGTTGCTGGTAGCGCGCAGCACTCATAACCCTGCAACCAGAGTTCGATTCTCGTTCACGGCTAACATCAGTGGCGAGTGGATATCAGAACCGCTCCTGGACCCCCCCTAGGTCGTCTCAGCCTCATTCCAGTAGCTGGTGCGGTTTCGTAAGCGTCAGTACTGGTAAGACAAAGGCGGCCCGGGTTGGAGCTGTCCCCACAACACCCACCCGACGCTCATAGGGTTAAGCATCAGCACGTGTACGTACTGTAGACTCGTGTGTCATCATCATCATCGTCTATCCACTGCTGGATGAAGATCAATGCGGTGTTCTCTAAACCACGTGCTCCTCTCTCTCTCCGCCTCTCGGTGTCACTCCGAACGTGCGTCCCTCCGTGATACACCGCGCGTACGTTTCCGATTTTCGTTCCACATTTCACGCGAATGACCAAGTGCTTCCGATCCATATACGCCACGGCAGCTGACAAGCACAACTCAGGATCACAAGTGGATGTGCACACGTGCGGAGCGGCGGCGTGGAGCGTGAAACATGGAGAGATGGAGGTGGCCGGGCGTGGCCCTGGGACCCCCCCCCCATCACCACCACCCCCTGGGGTGGCACCGTAGCTACTCGCTTAACGACACAACAGTCTGTATGAGGCTACACGGGAGGTCTTTGTTGTATAGCGAGGGCATGGACATCGTCAGTCATGATCAATCCACTGCTGGATGAAGGCCCCGTGTGCAGCTACACCTGCATGCATGCATTGTAAATGTGCGTGTATACAGTACATGTATGTGCATAGCATGTGCACGAATGCATAGCATATACACAGTACACGTGTGCTGAGAGCAAGTGCTATCATACCCGTGTGCAAGATGATTGGCGCTGCTGCTGCTGCGTTGGCAGTGGTACACAGACAACGGCAACTCAACACGATCCGTGTCTACATTAACCCTGTCGTCGCCTTAAAAGAAAATAAATAGGCGACGTTTCGAGCAATGACCCTTATTCATTTACGTTGTCACGGAGGGTCATTGCCCGAAACGTCGCCTGCCACAGGGCTATTAACGAATATGTTGATTTGCACGTCTACCTGTACGCATTGCACACACGCGTGTATGTACACGCGTGTATACACACGCGTGTACACACACGCGTGCGTGTACACACACACGTGTACACACACACGTGTACACACGGGCATGCAGCTGATGTCGCACGCGATGCATGTGCTGCGTGTGCAGGTGTAGGGTGTGGGGAGCGGTGGCGCAGTGATTAGCGCACTGCGCTACGAATCCGGCTCACGGCCAACACCAGTTATGATTATCTGAACCAGGTCCTGGGCCTCCCCTAGGTAGACTCGGCCTCAAATGAGTACCGGGTGTGATGTGTAAACATCGCATCTCGGGAGACGAAGGCCGCCGGGCGTGGTGCTGGCCACCCATCACCTGCTGTGCCGTACCGGCCCATCAGCACGTGCTCGCTAGCACCGTTTGCCACAATGATCTGTTAAGACTTTCCGGGGGGCCTTTGTCTTTGTGTTTGCATGCATTTAATGCAGGACACACACACGTGTGTGTGCGTCCCATGTACAAATTCATGCATCACGTCTATACAACAATATGGACGTCACCAAAACACTTCGTACCAGGCTATGTGCACATGTACCCGGCCAGGTGAGCACACAGACATAGACACACACGCGCGCATAGCACAACAAAAACATCCACCGCGCCTACACTCACCCGTAGCGAGCAGCAACACGAGCAGAGCGCCCTCCATTTCGTCTCCCGGTGTCCCTGTCTCTCTGTGTCTCTGCACGTGTCTCTCTCTGTCTCTGCACGTGTCTCTCTCTGTCTCTGCACGTGTCTCTCTGCACGTGTCTCTCTGTGTCTCTGCACGTGTCTCTCTGTGTCTCTGCACGTGTCTTTCTGTGTCTCTGCACGTGTCTCTGTGTCTCTCTGTGTCTCTGCACGTGTCTCTCTGTCTCTGCACGTGTCTCTCTGTCTCTGCACGTGTCTCTCTGTCTCTGCACGTGGCCTCCTCTGGCTCTGCTCTCCGTGCAGACTGAGGGGCGCGTCCTTTTAAAGGGACCCGGGCGGTGACGTCACCCAGTGAGTGGGCGTGGTCTCTGCGACCGCGTCGCAACTCGAACATCAGCCATGGTCTATCCACTGCTGCCTTGATTAAGTAACGTGGCTGATGGACCAGCCATGGTCTATCCACTGCTGGCTTGATTAAGTAACGTGGCTGATGGACCAGCCGTGGTCTATCCACTGCTGGCTTGAATACGGAACGTTTCAGTTAAGTTTTTGTCTATTTTGAAGTTCCCTGTGAGATAAAGAAGCTCTTGAATCTGGTTTAATCAACAAAAGGAGAGTCGGTTCCCTGTAAGCGAAACAACGTACACCAGAAGTCGCAAGAACAATATCAATTTAACACGTAGGCTTTCGCGACCAATATTATTCATAATAAAGGTTTTTGAGTTAGATCGCGTTATTTATAAATGTGTCGTAACCCTCCACCATGATGCTGGATGTAATTACCAGCGAAACGTCGTACTCAAACTGTAAATGTTGTGGATTCACTCTTCAACACACCGGTGGGCTAAAGTAGTGAATTATTTGTCTTTTGTCAACGTCACACTTTTTTGCTGATTGGCCGTGTCGGGTGGTGGAGGGTTACAACACATTTATAAATAACGCGATCTAACTCAAAAACCTTTATTATGAACAATATCAATATAAACAAATACACTATGCAGAGGGAAACATGGCGAAACATCACATGTAGAGTATTTTACGAAGTTATCTTTTAAATATTTAACAAAAGTGAAGATTAGGATTAAATAACATATTGCAAATAAGTCATAAACACGCAAATGGTAAAGTAGTTTCTCTGAGAAACATCAAATTTCAAGTAACGTGGCTGATGGACTCAACGCGTTCAGTGGCAATAACGCCGTGGCCTTAAGGACATGTAATAGGTGACGTTTCGGGCAATGACCCTTTTGCATGGCACAAAGAGAGGGGTCAGAAAGATAGTTCTCGACCTCTGCCCGAAACGGAACATTATATACCATTTCACTCTCCGCACAGTGCACACCAAGGCCGTAATTTTAATCAATATTGGGGGGGGGGGGCACACCCCCCCCCCCCCAATATATTGCTATAAAAAATAATTGCTGTGCTATGTAAATAAAAACAACAATTTGCTCAACCTTGGCCACAATATCTGGACGTGTCTTCATATAAATCAATGCATAGAATTCTGTTTATATGTTTATATGATTGTGGTTATGGCTGTACTTTATGAATCCCTAATCTCTGACATTACATTCAATGAAACAAGAAATGGTCAAACAGTAAAAACAGAGCGATGTAATACAATACACTATTAGACATTATTGTAAAACAAAATATACAAAGTCCATCCCATGTGTTAGTGAATTTTTTTATATTTTAGGCAGGAAATGAGTTTTCAAATTTAGATATTTTTTCTGATTTGGGACCCCCAGACACCCTGGAAGATTTGGTCCCCCCCAATGTTGACTCCATGGCTACAGCCTTGGTGCACACACGTAATACACACAGTGTACGATATAGCAGGCGACGTTCCGGGCAATGGCCCGTCTTCATAGTACATGAGCCGAGAGGCCGATCGAGAGATGGAGTGGATATTGTTGACAGCATGGGGCCCGAAGAGAATGACTGACACGTTCAACGTGGGGTTCACACGTCGGCTTTTGCGACCAATATCAACTATAATAAAGGTTGTGTTGGGTTAGATCGCGTTCCAACCCCCAAAAAGTTATATTATGGACGTTTAATTTGATTCCTCATCACCCGTTGTGTAAAAAGGGCGCGTGAACAGTTTCACAAATGGCATCTGATGAGCAACAGGCAACAAGAACAAACACATCCAATAGCCACGAAGCATGGCGATGTAACAAACTCACTGATGGCGGAGTAGGTGGCCGTGTTGTGTCTCGAGTGGCCGTGTTGTGTCTCGAGTGGCCGTGTTGTGTCTCAAGTGGCCGTGTTGTGTTGAGTGGCCGTGTTGTGTCTCGAGTGGCCGTGTGGTGTCTCGAGTGGCCGTGTTGTGTCGAGTGGCCATGTTGTGTCGAGTGGCCGTGTTGTGTCTCGAGTGGCCGTGTTGTGTCTCGAGTGGCCGTGTTGTGTCTCGAGTGGCCGTGTTGTGTCTCGAGTGGCCGTGTTGTGTCTCGAGTGGCCGTGTTGTGTCTCGAGTGGCCGTGTTGTGTCTCTAGTGGCCGTGTTGTGTCTCGAGTGGCCGTGTTGTGTCTCTAGTGGCCGTGTTGTGTCTCGAGTGGCCGTGTTGTGTCTCGAGTGGCCGTGTTGTGTCTCGAGTGGCCGTGTTGTGTCTCGAGTGGCCGTGTTGTGTCTCGAGTGGCCGTGTTATGTCTCTAGTGGCCGTGTTGTGTCTCGAGTGGCCGTGTTGTGTCGAGTGGCCGTGTTGTGTCGAGTGGCCGTGTTGTATCTCGAGTGGCCGTGTTGTGTCTCTAGTGGCCGTGTTGTGTCTCTAGTGGCCGTGTTGTGTCTCGAGTGGCCGTGTTGTGTCTCGAGTGGCCGTGTTGTGTCGACTCACCGAGTCGGGGATTCCCTCCAACCCCCCGCAGCTCCGCACACCTGTGGCGCCGTGTGGCCATCGCCCCCTCGTGGCGATGAACGGGAAGTGAAACTCCGAGCTGAAGCAACGTCGCTTCGGAACGCCGCGCCGCCCTGTGGAGAGAGAGAGCGGTGGGTGGGGGGGACTCAAGCGGCAGGAGAAGCAGCCACAGGCGAAGAGCGGGGAGGCCACGCGGTGGGGAGGAGAAGCCGGCACCACCGACCGTTGCCCAAGCTCTGCAGTCCTATTTAAAGCTTTCGTGACTGCAATGATTCATCTTCTTTGGTTCTTTCGGTAAAGTCACGTAGAATGAGAATAAAATAATAAATTGATAAAATAAAATAACACAATAATATTCTCACGACGTTTCGGCCACAACACAAGCGGCCTTCATCAGGTGAAGGGGGCGAGACTGTCTGGTAGGACAGCGCTGGACAGTCTCGCCCCCTTCACCTGGTGAAGGCCGCTTGTGTTGTGGCCGAAACGTCGTGAGAATATTATTGTGTTATTTTATTTTATCAATTTATTATTTTATTCTCATTCTACGTGACTTTACCGAAAGAACCAAAGAAGACTCTGCAGTCCTCTCTACATTACGGCGTTATCGGGCTATATTAACGGGTGTGTTTACATGTGGGAGGAGGAAACCGAAGCAAGTGGATAATGCCCACGCGTGCGGGCGAGGGGGAAACACTCTATCCCGTCCGCAGATGGAGATTAGTCCGCAATCTGCTACACCGCCTTCTCCTGGCGAGCCAGGGCACGGCTCTTGACGCCGGCCAGCGGGAAGTAAATCTCGCAACATCTGTGCATGATCCACCAACCCTGGCTACTGCCACAAGGTGGCTCTGTCGATCCACTGCTGGATGAAGGCCTCCCCAAGCCGTAGCCATCTCCCAACGGTCCCGCGATGCGAGTTGCAGGAATATTCGAGCTCCGAGAGCCAGTGTCGTCGCTCCATCTCCGCGGTGTGCGTACCTGTCGGCACACGTTCCATCTTCTCTTCGGGTCTCGCACAGCGAGCAATGAACCCGGGCCCAGGGTGGTCAGCCCAGTGGCCACCTGGGCCACCCGCGGCAGGCGCGTGCCACGGAGCATAACGCAGATTCCCCGTGCCCTCTGGCTCACGGTGAGCTTGGCTCATCGACTAACAAAGTCCATCGACTAACAATGCCCACAGACTAAAATTGACCATAGACTAGCATTGCCCACAGACTAACATTGACCATAGACTAACATTGACCATAGACTAGCATTGCCCACAGACTAACATTGACCATAGACTAACATTGACCATAGACCAGTGGTTCTTAACCTGGGTTCGATCGAACCCCAGGGGTTCGGTGAGTCGATCTCAGGGGTTCGGCAGAGCCCCCGCCACGGAGGTCCGGACACACTTGAATTATTGTGTAAATTTGTGATGACACACACGGCCCGCTTGGCCATCACTGGCTGCAGATGATCATGCTACACTGCTTGGCCAATCAGCGCTGCGGGGAATTTAGTGCGTACTCAGTAGTCAACGTGTGACTGTTGTTGTCGTACGTCGTGTGATTTCTTTAATATTTTATCCATACTAACTATGTCGGGCAAAAGAAGAAAGTGGTCGGACGAATATGTACAACATGGATTCTCATGTATCACGGAACGTGATGGGAGTGAGCGTCCTATCTGCATGATTTGCAACGCCAAGTTGAGAAACTCTAGTCTTGCACCGGCAAAACTAAAGGAACACTTCTTGAAGCTGCATGGAGACGGGGAATACAAGAACACAACACTTGCTGAATTCAGGGTGAAGAGAGCCAGATTCGATGAAAGGGCCACTCTGCCTGCTCTTGGATTTGTACCTGTTAACAAACCGATCCTGACAGCATCGTACGAAGTTGATTACCTGATCGCAAAGCAGGGCAAGCCACACACCATTGGTGAAACACTTGTGAAACCAGCTGCATTAAAGATGGCGAATCTGATACTCGGAACAGCGGCCGAAGGTAAATTATCCCAAATTCCCCTTTCAAATGACACCGTCAGTGACAGAATAGAAGACATGAGTAAAGACATCTTGGCTCAAGTAGTCGCGGATCTGATTTCAAGCCCGGCAAAATTCAGCCTTCAACTCGACGAAACCACAGACGTTTCTGATCTAAGCCAGCTTGCTGTTTTTGTACGCTATGTGAAAGACGACATGATAAAAGAAGAGTTTTTATTTTGTAAGCCTCTTACAACAACAACGAAGGCAGCCGATGTGAAGAAGCTTGTGGATGACTTCTTCAGAGACAACAATCTTTCATGGGATATGGTTTCTGCAGTTTGTACGGACGGAGCTCCAGTCATGCTGGGAAGAAAGTCTGGTTTTGGTGCGCTAGTAAAGGCCGATGCACCA